CAAGGATTCCAATCTACTTTCTACACCAATAACTGGAAAAAGTTGAACATCCATCAGCTCAAATCACTGATGCGGAACAACTCTAACATTCAACTACTGAGCTTAGACTAATTTATCTTGAGACACCCCATCTTACAGGTTAGAGACTATCATTCTCCAAAGAATTCTGCAATTGCAGATCCCAGTATAGGATACTTACTAACATCACTACACCACAGCTATGCAAAAACTATGGCATGACCTCCAGCACTGAACTAATTAGTGATAATTAAGACTTGTTTTAACACCCCTGCTATGCTACTGATTTAGCTAAAAAATAAACACATCAGCAAATCCTCACAAATAGTGGTGAACTACCGAGTTTTCAGTATTTTACTGTCTTCAATGATTTAGTATTTGTATGAAATATAAGCAGTAAGCCATGCTAGGAACAGAAAGGGCAGACAAAAAAAAGCAGACCTAACTCTAAAATCCACTACCCAATAACTAATAGCTAGCATTTCAAGCTATGAAAGTATTTTTCCTTCATCTTCACATCCCATGTGCAGACAGGCATAAACAGTTTGTTTCAATCAAATCTGCAACTCGGCTTGCATTTTTAGGAAGCAATATAACAAAGAAATAGTCGGGAGGTATTTAATAAAATGGGAGGGCAAGTCTCAACAGAAGAACCTTTTGACTCCCACAGTGCTTGATAACTTTCACAGTTTTCAACACTAAGTGGTAGTTTCAGCGTCAGAAACTAGGTGACTTGACAAGACATGCCTTGACAGGAATGCAATGCAACTCAGACTTGGGAAGAGGTACATACAAAATAAAACCTATCAAGAAGTCACATGACAGAGGTTATTCCAAGTTAAACAATTTAACTGGACACAATGTCTTACCAAAATTCTCTCAAGTCAGGTGCACCTTCAAAAAAATTAAACTTCCCTGCCCTTACTTTAGTCAGCTCCTCACTTCTAGCACTGGAGAAGCAGAACTTCAGAGCTCAGTGCCTACATAACACGTTTCCATATACAAAGGAAAAGCAATTGAAACTTCACTCTGAAGCTGCAATTATGGGTTTTGCCTGGGTTTGTCCCACACAAATTGGTACTTTCTATATGCTCAGCTAGTCTTTTCTGAGTGATTCCGACTGTGTAACATCACATGAATAGGGAGACAAATAACAAAAAATCCCAGACAGACTCCACAGTGTTTATATAAATTTCATTAGGAAAAAAAGAACAGAGAGAAGGAGAAAGCTGTATACATACTGATACAGAGAGAATACACTGAGGAGAGTATTTTTTTTTTTACATTGGACTTAGTAAACACAGGCAAAAATAAAAGGAAATAAATAAAAGACAAATTCCTGACAGCACAGGGACCACAGCTCCAAGCTATCCTTTCAAATAGCAGTAGATTTTAATCTCGTGCAAAAATCAGAGGTTCTCACGCTGGTCAGATTAACTACATGAGAAAGAAGTCAGACATCAAGATGCTTTAATATGAACTGTTCCACACAGGTGCAATGATTTTTAATACCAATTAGATATTATGTAAAGGTTATATGAGTTTATGTAACTCCCAAGCATGAAAAACACAAACATTCAGAATAGCATGCAAGGCTATACTTACCTAGGATAACACCTTGTGCACCTCTGTAGTAACTGGGTGTTAATGTTCTGAACCGCTCCTGACCTGCAGTATCCTAAAAAGCCAATCAGAAAGTTCCATTATGCAGAATTTGAGCACCATCTAGTTTAGCTTTCAGGTATTCTGCTTCTAATGAACAAACAAAATAAGACTTAAAAGTGTATTTCACTACCAGATTAGCTGAGTTTATTCCTTCTCCTGCTGTTTTACTACACATTAACTTTATTATGTAATCTACCCTGAGAAACACCTTCTAATTGTTAAATGCAGTAAATAACTGACCTACATGGCAGTAAGATAGCCATTTCTGCAAGGGCATTTGTTCTGCACCTAGTACTGCAGCAACCAGCATGAGCAGCATAGCTGCAGTACTAACTAAGGTTTTGTAACAAGCATCACACCCATGGCACCAAAAACAGTTCCCTCACTTCAATCGCTTGGTCCAATTAAATTTGATTGAGTGTCAGGGTAAATGCATTAACACACTATGACAGAGCAGAAGCAGAAATGTGGTTTCTCTGAGAAACAGGTTTCTCTGGTTTTAAGTAAAGTTGAGTTTACAGCCTCAAATTTAAAGTGCCAAAAGCTCTGCAAAAAAACCCCTAAATATTACTGTTTTCTTATCTTTTCTTTCATAGATTAAGTTATAGAGCACACTTATTGCAGACTTTATGCACAGAATATTTAATCAATTTACCCAAGTGAGAAGTGACACGTGAAACATGGGATTCCGTGACAAAGAACCTGAATAACAAAACTGGACTTCCAACATTCTACAAACCACTCAGTCAATCCCAGCCATCTCAAACTGCTTCTGTGTAATGATGAACATTTACAAGCTTTTCCAGTTTACCTCAGGATTATTTCTTTATATTTACCAATATGAAAAAAAATAAATCCTAAATTAGTTCTATGTAATATTTTCCATCCCATTATCATTCATCATTCTGCTATCAGTCTTGTTTTCCTCCTATGTGTCTTTTTTTTCTGTCAAGCTATTTCAGTTATTTTCCTTGTCAAACTCATTTATTTTAGTGATCATTACTATTGTAACTAAGACATAAATCCTGTTTGTTACTTGAGATATGAACCGCCCTCAAAGCAATACAAGTATTGCAATTCATATTTCATGTTTCACTACTACTTCCCAAGAAAGGAAAAAGTGCAGCATCTTGCTCATACGAGAAACAAGGTTTTATTCTTGCTACAAGACAACACAACTGGGTCTGAATATTCAAGAGATGCTTCAAGTCACATAAGTCTGTAGGCTTATGGAGAATATTTAAAAAATAGCTTGAAGTACCTGTTCTTTCTTCATGGTCATAAATGCAGAAATTCTACTTTTAGCTGAAGTAGAAGTTAAATATGCTAAAGCTATGAGTACAAACACTGTCTCTCTGTCAGATGCATCTGCTACAAATAACTCTAACCTTGAGCCTATAAATGTCCTTGTATGAGGGCTATGAGGTTTTATAGAGGTAACATTTGAGCATGCAACAGTAATTCCTAACCTAATACACAACCTAACCTTATAGGCAAAATTTAGTAAAGAAGTTCACCCTTTTAAAATCTGTCAAGTACAGATAAGAGTGATATAGACAGGGATGTCTCAGATTAGTGAGGGCTAAGTCTCTAGACGTTGAACAATTAAAATCATTAAAAACACTTAGGAATGGCTACATTCACTTTTTTAAAGTTTGACTGATTTAGTACCATTTAATTCCTTCTCTTCTCTACTCCTATCCCAACTAGACCTGGAGTCAGTGTAGCTCACAGGCAACAGAACCACCCCACCAGCCAGCTGTCCCACAGTTCATTCTACCTTTTGAATGGTGCAGTATTAACTTCCCACTTCTCCAAATCACCTTCATATTAATAGAAAAGAATTCTATACAAACTGTACATTATACAAACCATCACTATTCCTAAAGCAAAGCAATACATTAAGAACTTCGGGAGAGACTTACCCATATTGCCAGTTTAGCTTTGTTTCCATCAACTGAAATAGTTTTCACCTTGAAGTCCACACCTAGAACAGGAAAAATATTTTAGTTCTTCAAACATACTACAGCTATCTTTGAAAGAGAAAAAAAAAAAAAAATCAAACTTGGAAAACAAGCTGTGTTTTGACATAAGCAGGAAGAGTAAGTTTCATTAGCTATTTATGAACCTTGCTCAAAATGCAACATTTTGTTGCTGACAGGTTTTTCCAAAAGCCTAAGGGTCTTTAAGCCATTGACTCAAAATATTTTATGGAAGTAGGGCAACTACTACATTTCCTGTATTAAAGCACAAATTCCAGGAGAAATTTTCAAGTTTGTAATTCAAATGGGTTAACTTTCTATTCATTACTCACAAACATGTTTTCCTTACACCCCTGGCCTTGAAGAACAATATACTTTAAAACTAATGAAGGTAGCTGCATTTAGGTAGCTGTTTGCTCTGTTTCACGATCTCAAACCAAGTCTCATCAAGCTTGGCAAACTGATATAGGCAGAGAGTCGTGCAGTACATGACTGCTATCCTATGAGAAATAACATTAGATTACACTAATTTAACATGTGCCAGATTCTGCAACTGGGATGTGGTGCCCCTGGTTGTGTATACAGACTGGGGAATGAGAAGCTGGTGAGCAGCTGTGGAAAGGGACCTGAGGGTCCTGGTTGACAGCAAGTTGAATATGAGTCAGTGGTGCCAGGAGGGCCAACCGTGTCCGGGGGGCATCAAGCAAAGCATCTCCAGTCAGTCGAGGGAGGGAATTGTCCTGATCTGCTCTGCACTGGGGTGGCCCCACCTTGAATATTGTGTGCAGTTTGGGGCACCACAATATCAAAAAGACATTAAACCATTAGAGAGCATCCAAAGGAGGGCCATAAGGATGGTGAAGGGTCTGAAGGGGAAGCCTCACGAGGACTGGCCGAGGTCACTTGGTGTGTTCAGCTTGGAGGAGACTGAGGGCAGACGTCATCGAGATCTTTAACACCCTCATGAGGGGAAAAGGAGGGACAGGTACTGATCTCTCCACTCTCGTGACTGAGAAACTTATTTTGTTAAATTATGTCAACTTCTGGACAATATTTCAACAACTGCAAAAACTTTGGAAACATTTTGTTTTCTCTTTTCTTTTTAAGTTTTCCTAGCCCTCAGAAAAGGTGCTGAGGAATAACTGGCAAAATTTGGTATTGTCAGCAAAAAATTAGAGAGTTTGGCAAAAGAAAATAAAACCCCTGGCAAAAAACAGTTTTTGCCAGGAGAAAAGAAAAAAAACCCCGCTTGCTAAAGTCTGTCTTTGCAAAGGAAGAGGTAAGGTGTTAGCGGTCACACAGCTTAAGTCGTTTGTTGCTTAGTAACCGGGTGGAGGCCTAACTCACTCCGGCCGGAGAACCTATATACCCTGACTCAGCAAGGTTTCGCGTGGCTGGGCGGAGGTGGATTCTTTTGTCTTCTGTCCCTGTTCTGGGAGGGACAAGGGTGGTCTGGGATATGTGTATTTATTTGTTTTCTAATATTGTCTAATGCTGAGTGTATTATTAAATAAGCAAAGACTCTGAAGCACTGCACATCACCGAAAAAGGATGCTGTCCATGGATGAAAGTGAAAGAACTGTTCCAGTCACTGCAACAGACAAGACTGAGTTCCTGAACTCTCTACCCACATTCTGAATTACATCTCGTTTGCAATATTAAAGAGTGAAGGGGTGGGAGATAATGATTTGCATAGAGTGGATTTTCAATATTGATTGAATGCCTGGGTTTTTTTTTTTTTTTGCTTAGTAGTATAACAATTGCCCACTGCTTTCCTCTTTCTTCTGTACTACTTCTGTCAGCTAGGTTCTCCTACTGCTGCTGCTACAAGAAGAAGAAAATCCAATTAAATACGATTCCAGTGGTTGTCCCAACCCAGGGGTGGAATGTGAGATCCTGGATTTGAATCTCACTGAATTATTGATATGGGTCAGAACCAATGCACCGTGTGTGTGTGCATATGGGGAAGGGCTGGGCCTAGACCTGCAGGAACATGGTAAGGCCTGCACACAAGGCCTGTGCTGAGGGCACAGGGCAGAGCCAGAAGGCAAGGCCTGCAGTCCATGCAGAGCTGAAGGCCCTGCCGCCAGACAAGGCAGACCTGCCTGGTAGCCCGCCCACACCACACTCCTGTAGCCTGTGACTGGCTACAGCACAACTCACTCTGGCCTTGAAGGTACTGCCCGGATATCCTGCCTGGGAGGGAAAACTGAACTCTACAAATACACAAGACTCCATGTGGTCTCTGTCTCTCTCCTTATGAAGTTGAGTCAGGGGAGGTTTAGGTTGGGTATCAGGAAAAGTTTTTCACCCAGGGGGTGGCTGAGCACTGGAACAGGCTCCCCAGGGAAGTGGTCAGAGCACCAAGCCTGACGGAGTTCAGAAGGGTTCAGACAATACTCTCAGGCATATGGTGTGATTGTTGGGGTGTCCTACATAGGGCCAGGAATTGGACTCAATTATCTTGATGGGTCCCTTCCAACTCAGCACATTCTAAAATTCTATGATTCTATGAAACATGTCAAATAAGCTTTGGATTATTTCAACACTTATTTATTTATTTAAAGAGATATTTATTTACCTCTTACAGGGATTCGAGCAACACCATGAACTCACCAATACCACGCTCAGTGACCAAGAAAAAAACCAAAGTGACAACATGATAACAGTTCTGCTGTTCAATCATCTACCTCAACATTTAAAAATTCATCCCCTTTCACGTGTCCTCCCCCCACAGGAAATAGCAGCCTATTACTTGCTCAAGAACAAGTTGCAGAATACTCAAGCCAAGGAGGACAAGACGTTAGTGACTGTGCAAATTTAAAGGATATAGCAACACACCTCAGTTTGAGAGGCTGAGTACAGTTATGATCCATTATGCTGTAATTCAATCCTTAGGTTACTAGTAGCAAGTAACTAACTGGAAGTATGTTTCAGCTATTTTGGAGGGACTTTCACTCCCCACCAGGCAGCAGCCCTGAAGTGAAATAACTGTGGAAAGTTGATACCTTTATAAGAACAACTTTCAAATGCAACAGCAACCTTTTTGCACTCCAAATTAAAATGGCAGCCATCACACTTGCTACCAGAAAAAGAATTTATCTATTCCAACACAAAATGAGTAGGGTTTTGTGATAAGTGTGCTGCATTTATATTCCCAAGGTCATGCAGATTACAAAAAAGTGCAAACAGTTGCCAAAACATGTTCAACTTAAAGTCACAAAGAGTATATAGGATGACTAAGAAACTGCACATTATAAGCAGATTTAAACTTTAGTTGCACTGAAGTCTAAAAGAGCTTTATTTAAAAAAATATAAACACAATTTTTATTCCACTGTTTCACAGCTTCAGCTCACTAGTGTTACCAGATATGTCAGGTGATTTTCAGACAACATTCTGCACTGGAAGAAGCTCATACTCTTTATTTCAAGCAAAATTTTCCCAAAGTACACTAACTTTTGCAGTAACTGAACAGAACTTTGTTTTTTTCAGGGACTAAGACTCCTAGTCCCTAACTTTGCAGTAATATAATGCTCAGTGGCATGCACAAGAGTTCTAGAGTTATGTTCACAGAAAAGAACAGTTGCTATTAACTTTATTTTAAACACATGTTCTTGGAACTTTACCTAGTTCACAGAAGACTGCTATGCTAGCAATTTGACACAAATTGATCCCAAAGAACATCCTGTCCTGTCCATTCTTCAGCACTCAGCAGGAGCTTTTAGACTAATAGAATCTCTTTCTTCCACTGTAATTGTACAATTCTTCCCCTAAACTGCAAAAATCACCATTGTTCAGTCAGCATGTCCCAGAGTTCACAGTGCATTCTTTTATCCATTAGCCTGGCATCAGAACTTGTAACTGCAGGTATTACAAGTCTATTGGATACTTTACAAAGCAAGGTATGTCACAGCAGTTTCAAGAAACAAAACTTTTTTCCTTAGGATAAACTTATTAGGTGTATTCTGAAGCCACGGTATCCTTCTCCCATTCAGTAAACAGATTTAGTATCTTGTGCTTGCACAGCTCAGCAATTTTCATTTAATGGAAAACGTATATACATCTTTCTGTTAGCCTTGCTGCTGGCTTAAAATTTACTTTTAATTTTGCATGAGTGATGCAAGTAAAATAAGAAACTAAAATTGCTAATAAACTGGTAATTGAAAAGCAAAAGTATGAAAATGAACTAATAGCCCACCAAGATATATCCTTTAAAGTGATCAAGGCATGTCAAATATAATTCTAGCAAACCAAGGAGTTCAACACATACATAAGTCAATGAACAAAAAGAAAACTTTTAAATAACTGTGGTTTTGATTGTCATTCTGCCATAAAAGATGATAGGTAGAAAAAAATAAGGCTCAAGAAAATCTTGTTGAATTGAATAGGGTACTTGTGTTCTCTAAATACATCAGTGAAATACAGACATGTTTGTGACAGGTGTCAGTTCTGAGCTTCCAAGAGTGATGTTTCTACCCTTGACAGCAGAAAGTTGACACTGCTTTCCACCATGCCTTGGAAGGCAGCCAGAAACAAGACAGCACTGTATATAGACTGTACTCCCGTGTGTTAACACCTACTGCCTCAGCACTGCACACCAGCATACTATGGACTTCCAGTCCACAAGGAATAGCTTTGTCACTGATACTTCTCTCACACACAGGCCTGTGTGCCATGCTGGATTTACAGGAGTGCAAAATCAGCTAGAGTGTAGTATTTGTGTTACAGGTAAGTGACAAGTTGGACAGCTTAGAGCTAGAGGACTCCAAATGCAAGGAAAGCTAAGAAGTTAAGAGACATCAGATCTGTGCAATACATCACCTCATTTATGAAACAGGGATTGCACTGAACACTTATCTAGAATCTTTCATACCAAGAGCAAGCAAGTAAAGACAAGCATGAGCAGTAAGGAAAACAGAAAACATTGGGGTATATATACTCTGGTAAGATCCATGTGATGAAGCCCAATGAACAAGCAATTCCAAGGAATGCAAGGAGGACAGGTAATCTGCTAGGTTGACTGAAACACTGTTAATCCAGGTGAAGCTATTTGCCCAAAGCAGCTTATTCTTCCCAGAATATCATAGGATTTTTACAAAGTTCTGAAGAGAAGCCCACAAAGAACAATCATTCTGGGTTTCATTTAAATTGTACCCAGTAGGTCTGTGCAATGCATGAAGATAAGGTACACCTCAACAGGTCATTTCAGGGGTCCAATTGTACTGCAGTCAAGACTTTCCCTCAGTATTGTGGTTTTGTGTGCAGTTCTTACTATATGTTAAAAAAAAAAACTAAGTAAACCAGACATGTCATCACTTCGCTTTCTAATCCAAATAAAAAAATACAGTCCCTTTAATCAGTTCAGCAGTCAGTATGTGGATCACATTGAAAGAAGACATTATTTGTAGTCCTTGGATTTTGGAAAAGCACCATACTATTCAGTTTCAACAAGAAAGGCTTAAAAACCTCTTCTGTCCCCAAACTCAAAACAAGTAGGGTGTAATTAGCAAAAAAAGAACTCCAAGTTGAGACTCACAAGGTGTTTTAACATTTCACTATCTTGCAAGTACCTGAATTTGGCATCTAGGATCTGTCTTCATTCAGCACAGAACAGTTACCTCTAAGAGCTCACTCCAGTTGCTTTATCTGTATGAACAACAAATCCTACCCCGAATTTAAAGCTGCTATGTTGCTTCTTAGAAATACATTCACCAGAAAAATGGCAATGCCACTGCAGGAAACAAGAAAACAAGTAAGAACCACCTAGATTCTGTCCTCTTCCAGTTAAGTGAAAAAAAAAAAGTTAATCTGCTACCCCTAATGAGTGCTCCACACACCATGCTATGGGACTTCCACAGCTGGGGTCACAGTAGCTCTCCTGCACAACACTATAAACATCAGCTAGAGGGGCCTAACAGGGTGATCTACGCCAGCATTTTGCTCAGTCTCTAGAAACTGATTTTTCCTGCCAAATTATGACATTCATTCCAGATGAATGTATTTGTTTCAGAAATCAAACTCTACCTGAAGTAATGCTCACATTGAGTACTCTTCCTCCTTTTCCACATCAGAAACAAAGCAGGGTAGGACCTGCCAGCAGTAAACTTTGAATTGTTTGCAATAACCAATGATTAGCTACTACACTTGATCTTGTGCATTTTGGCAAACGCAAAGAGGAAGAATTACTTCAAGAAATAATTCCTTTGTTTCTCAAATAGTGTGTGGATGTCAGTGGTAAAAAATATCACGTGCAAACAGCAGAATGAAAAAAAAAACCCACAGTTAAAAACAAACAAAAAAACCCCCAACAATAAAGATGCCCACGCTGAGCCTACTGGTATCCAAAACATCACGAAAGCTGAAGCAGCTATTCTGTACTAACTTCCTGGCCCATATGGTTGACTTATCAAGAAAGTAAGAGGATATGAAGTATACACAGTGTCAAAACTATTAGATTAGAATACAAGATTGTCATCTTCACCACCTGATCTATAACATTCCTGTTTCCTTCCATGCTATCCTCCCTCATAAACTGAGGTGGGGCTCCTTGCACAACTTCATTTTTTACAAGCAATGGAATGAACAAAAATAGGCCACGTTCCTCCTCTTGGCTGCTCAGTGCTTTATATGAAATAGTACTCCTGTATTTTATTAACATTAATGAAAAATAGATCTATTTATAGAATTCTTAATCAATTAGAGCTGGATTTGTTTACCAACAGCTGAACTCAAAGACAAAATTTTGTATAAGTTCTTGAATAGAACTCTTCCAACAGAGAAAGCCAAAAATGCAACTGAAATGCACTGTGTGAAAAAGTATCTCCCTTTTTTCATTATTTTCAATATATCTGACTATATAATATTTGAAATATAATATTTAATTGTATTAGATATTATATAATAAAATAGTAATATTTGAAGTATTATACATTTTTAATATAGAATATTCAAAATATAATTTCAATGTTTTCCATTATTTCAGTTATTACTTTGGCACAGAGTTGCATCACATTCTTATAAGTTTCATATTGCTCCTTTGACAACCAATCTACATAGGGTGTCCTGCATTCTGGGCCACCTTCCTCCAGCACAGCTGACCTACATGATAGGTAATATACCAGCACAGCAATGACACATCACTGCTTTTTTTCCCAGCAGCTCTAGATTCTTGGCTCTCTTCCACTTTTCTCAGAGCCTAGCTGGGAAGGAGCTGATCACTAAGTAGAAGAGAAAAAGGCACATTGTAATTTCCTCCCTACAGAGGAAAAGCAGAAGGTACACAGAGCGCAGTACACCCTAGTACTGTCAGAAGTTGCAAGAGTTAACATCCCCTATTAAACAGTCTTAAGATAGCTACTAAGTATCACATTACAAGGTCTGGACAGCAACACAACTATTTAAATAACTTTAGAGCTATCCTGCAGAGATAAATCAGTAGGAGACCTAACAGTAGCTCTTACATTTCCATTTTAGCTCAAAATGCTGCAAACGGTGAAGTGCAGGTTACTCCACTGGAGCTTTTCCCTGACCACACCTATGACCTCCATTTGCATGGTGATGGGTGCCACTCATATCTGCTTTTTCAGTCAAGGATAAATTTTGGCATAAAGGGGACAACTACAGGCCAGTATATTCAATTCCCTACGCCAATGAGCATGACATACTAAAACTGTGTCCACGTCATCCCCGCATTACAGAAAGGCAGACATGTCTGAACTTCACATCAGGCATGTCTGAATAAACTACAGTTTTCCATTGAAACTCGTATGAATTTTTCTGAGGTAGTATCAGTACATACTTACCAATTGTTGCTGCAAGTTCTGGGTCGAATGTATCATCTGTGAACCGCAGCAGAAGGCTGATAGGGAGGAAAGAAAAATAAGAGATACTATTACTGCAGCATACTCATAGCTTGCTGGAAGTCTACAAATCTCAAGTCTGAAAGGAACAGCAAGATCACACAGCTAAACAAAAACACAGCTCATTGTCTCTCGTAGGAGAGAAATTACGGAAAAAAAGAAGGGAACATGGAAAGAATACAGCTGACATGCTCTGCTCTCTGAGCCCTCAGCTCCTC